GGGAAAATATACTGCCTGCACCGATGGAGACATCTGCAACAATTCTCCATGAACTCTCCTGGTTCAGATCAAGTTATTAATCAGCTCTTTTCAAAACAGTGCTACATCAATACTGTTGGTAGGTCTAGCATTTCAGAAAAGCAATGAAGGGTGACTTTCCTCATTGGTACACAGTACCCCCAGATACTACTAGTCATAGAACACACCAAGCTACTGTTTGGAGCAGTGGTCTCCAACCTTTTTAAGTAGAAGATCACCTTTGATATTTAAAAGCAACCCAGGATCTACGGGTACCACCACCTCTCCTCCCCCTGCCCAGCAGGCAAGTCTGTACAGAGGGAAGTGGGGGGGAGGACAGATCAAGGCAGAGGGAGAAAAAAATTGCGTGAGGATGTGCCTCCCCAGCCGGCAAGTCCTACACAGCCAGGGCCCCACTCCATTCACCTGCTTCTGCGGCACTGTCCCCCACTGCAGGGGCCTTGATCTAGCCCCCACCTCTTCCCTCCCCAATGGGCTGACCTGCTGGACTGGGGTGCACATGTGCACTCAGCTCCCTCACCCCCAGTCCCCCACTCCAGCCTCAGACTGACTTCAAGAAGCTCCAATATCTACCACAAGAGGCTCCAAGATCTACCGGTGGATCTCAATCCACTGGTTGGTGACCATTGGTTTAGAGTAGTGGTTCTCAACTGTTTTTGTACCAGGATCCATTTGTAAACATTGATAGACAGTCTTGACCCAGTGCCCCTCACTCCCAACCCCCATCCCCCTGGTCCCCCACACCCTCAGTGTGTGGGGCAGGGGGTGGGTGGGTGTGGGGAAAAGGGGCCTCCCCAAGCAGCCCCTTGCAGGCTGGAACTCTGCCACCTTGCAAGGGAAAAGCCATGGTTTCCAATTGGATTCTCCTTTAAAGGAGAATCCATTGTTAAATTTTGTTGATTTATTTTTAAAGTTTGTCCACAACCCTTTCATATATTCTTGTGATCCACTTTTGGATTGCAATCCATGGGTTGAGAAACACTGGTTTAGAGCTGCAAAGAACTAAAAAGGTTAGCAGCACTGCTGAGCCACACCCATGTTTAACACTAAAAATGTACTGATGCTCTTTGACTCTTACTGGGCATATACAATACGCTCATTAGTAAAAGGCTTCCTAGATATTAAAGGCAGCCAAAAATTTTCCAGAGGAAGATAAGGAAAGTGGCTGTGCTCCCTCCTAAGTTTAAAAACACCTGTGGATATCGGTTGTTACAGCACTTCATATAGTTGCAAAATGATGAAGAGTCTTCTAAGCTTGTCTGTTTGCGTTTTGCTTTCCACACATTTTTCTGCATTCCATTTCCTGACTCAGAACATAAGCAAAAGAAAAAAAAAAATATATTCCATAAAATAAAGATTCGAGGAACTGGGGGTATTTGAAGCTCTTATAAGAAAATAAGCTAAAAACCTGCTCCAACTCTTTCCAGTCACAATCCCATCAACTAGTTAGTGTCTAAGTGATGACCCTGACCTACCTTCTGACCAATTATAGACTAACACACATTATCAGCTCCATCTTCAGACTATATAAAATTTCCATCAAAAGATGCAGTAAACCAGCTATACTTCCCTTTTCAGGAACATCATCTATTACACTCTCCTATTATAAGATAACAGTATCTAGGACAGAAAAAATGGAAATGCAAGCGTACATGTAAAATGTGGACTTGCATTTACAGTTTTAGAGCACTGGGGGGCGTAAAGTGATTTGGTCCAGCATATACAAGAGAAGTCTGTAAATTACTCATTGCCTTTAGAGCAGCAATTCTCAGCCAGGGTATAAGGACATCCCAAAGAACCACAAGATCCTTTGGAGGGTGGCACAGGAAGTGTTAGGAAATAGGCAGGCTCAGGCTCTCCTGGCTGTTCTCTTGCTCCTACTGCCTGGCTCTTCAACAAGGAGGCAAGCACTGGAATAAACTAAACTAGTTTGTAAATGCAGTGCCGCCCAATTCTTCAAGTTATGAAGGGGCACGCTGAGTCTGAAAAGGTTAAGAACCACTGCTTTAGGCAGATTACAGCTAATCTAAAACTTTTCTACAATAAAAACGCATGGCTTTCTCTCTTCATGCTCTCCTTCTCATAGCATTTCCAGTGCTGTGATGATCTCCAAACACAGTTCTTTAGTGCTCAGCTAAAGGGTGCAATTCCGTCCAACCAAAACATGAAAACTAGCGTCTATTTGAGCCAACATGAGGTTCCTCAATTAACGCTTAACAAGCCTTTAATTGCAAAACAGCCCATGTGCCATTTTCCAAAAGATGAAGAACGTCAAATTTAACCCCCTGCAAACACAGAAGCCCAAGAAGCATTCAGTGGCAGACCAGGCAGCCACGCCAGGGGTAATTTCATCCCACTACATGTGGAGGTCATGGACCCAGAGCCGGTCCATCACCGGCTGCCTTCCCTACTCCTGCTACTCAAACCCCTCCCGGAAAGGGATGAGGGGCTGGAGAACCAACCAGGGGCCTCAGGCTACCCACCCTTTTGTCTTCAAGGAACTGGCAAGGGAGAGAAGGAGGGACATAGGCTGGGATGGCCATTACCTGTGGGATCACCACACATGAAAAATTATTTTTTTTGAGAAGATACTGGGGGACGGAGAGAACTAGAATGCATATTTAATGTAGATACAATTAATTAATATTTCTAGCCCAGGATTGTTAGCTTCCCCAGGCTGCAGGAGTAACCTGGAGCTAGTCCCACGGCTCCTCCAAGCCCGTGAACCCTCCCCCCCCCCCC